TGTCATGGCTGAGTCACACGAAACAAGACGAGCGTTGAGAAGTGGACCCACAGACCACAGAGGCAGTTAGACTCACAGGATTCCTCCATGGACGCCTGACCAGCTAGGTCGACCATGTTGCTACTCGATGAGTGAGAGCTGCTGGGCTTGTCCGGGACCGCGAGGAACGCGTGTGCAGGGTGAACTTCATACACTTGCCTAGCACGCGGGAGGTATTTGTGCGTGAGCATTGGCTGCGGTAGGATACCATGATTTCTGCAGCGGCGTACCTGTAGCAAGCCCGGCACAAGTTGAAGTCATCACAGGACGCACACTTGTACCGGTGACTCGTGATGACGGTGTTGCACGTCGAACAGTGACATGTTCCTTGGCCGCCTTGCTCTGCAAACAAGACAATCGTCAGGATCTTCCTCAGCGCCCGTGCTTGTGAGGCCCTATCGTGTGCCGTGGCTGTATCGAAAACACGCCGCAGCGAGTGTGGGTACAGAGCGGGTAGGCGTGATACTCACCAACATCTTCCCAGCCGTTGTGCGTCCAACTCTTCTCGATGTACGCGTGCCGCAGCAGCCCCTTCTGGCTCGGCGCCGTGCGCCGCCATCTCGAGAGTGCCCGCTCAGCATCCTCCGGTGACGTCCCAGGTCCCGGTGATGTGCCAGGCGTAGCACTGAACTCGAGCGAGTGTTGCACACCATATGCCTGGACACAATTCGAGCAAAGCTCGTATCCATCTCTTCTCCTATTCTCTGATCCCGGTGACAAAGACGACACGGGGCTTCCCTGGCCAGGAGGTATGGGCAGGGGCTTGTACGGGGGATGGTGGACGTTGAGATGAAGAGTGCTCTCTGACATCGAGCGCGAAGGGTGGTGTTCTGAAGAGCCTGAACTTCCACTTCCGGAGTGTTGGCTACCGGTCCCAACCATGGTAAGCGAGGATGCAGACGCGGCAGCTGAAGGGGTGTTGCGCCATGGGGGATACGAGTGTTCTCGGTGAATCTCGATCGCCCGCGTCTTTCCCTTCACGTCGCCCGTCCATTCGGGCTCAATGATGATGGGCTTCTTCTCGCCGCAGGTCGAACAAACGTACTTGATCATGTCTAGCACGACGCCGCAGTTGGAGCAGTTCGTGGGATCGGGAGGAGGCCCAAGAGGCGGGTCGGGCCGTAGGAACGACAGCACTTCTGGCGGGATGTCCGGGTGAATGTAGTCCGTCGGGAACTGCTGCTCCTCTGGGCTCATGAAGGGGTTCGAAGAACGATGTGGGTGCGAGAACTGTGTAGCCTGCATCGACGTCGGGCGACTATCCAGGACCTTCTCTGCCGAATCCGCCAGACTCTCGACCGCATCGTTTGCCCCCACGCTTGCCCCGTCGTCGTTGCCATAGTCGCGTACGCTCTGCGAACCGCTGCTGCCCGTGAGCGTGTAACGGTAGTTCCCGTGCTGATTCCGTTCCAGCTCGAGCGACATGCTGTCTTCGAGCGAGAAGTCGCTGACCGATGCCCCATCTCCATCAAGAATCGAGAGGTGCGCATTTTGTTCTCGTAGCCAGTTGGCTCCGCGCTCTGTCTGGAAGGTGGACGTGCCGTTGAGGTTGCCGGGAGATAGGCCAAGGCGCTCCTCCTCCAGCTTCAACCGTGCGAACACGAATGACGGATCCTCAGGGAAGCGTGCGAGGGTGTCATCGGATGACAAGGGATCCGGCTCTCGCGTCCTTGCAGCACTGGAGAGGGTACGAGTCTCCCACTGGTCTCCGGGGTCGATAAGGGGCTCCCGGCTGGGGCCGGCGACGATGGTCCTGGTGCCCTTGCCGCGGTACGCGTCGTACTTGGAACCAATGTCTTTGGAACTCACCGTGATGGCGTCATCCTCGAGCTCCCGGGGAGGTTCAGACGTGTACGACAGCGATTGCCCACTCCCGTTCCTATTCCTGTACTCCTCCAGGCTGACGAGCGAACCAGTGTCCGAGAGGCTGATGCCATCATAGTCGACGACGACATGGACGCGCAGGACGATCTGGGACTTGCGGAAGCTCCGACCGGAGAGGATGGAAGCTGCAGAGGAAAGAGGGGCATCTTCGCTTGAAGTGGGCTTGAAGTAGTTGATAGCCTCGGTGAGGTCAGCTTCATTGCTGATGAGGGTTGTCTCGGAGTCGTCGTCGACATATGCGATATAGAAGGGGGTAGAATTGAGGCCAAAACACTTTTCTACCTGTTTACGAACATGAGACTGCAGGAAAGGCTTAGGACGATGGCGATGACGCACTTGCTTCCGAAGATTATCGTATGTGCATAGGCGGGAGGACTGGTAGGAGATCTTCTTGCTCCCGCGCTCTTCGTGAGTGCACTTGACGACGAGTGCCTTGTCCGGACGAGGCTCAGATCTTCCATAACTAGATCCGCCGTAGTCCGAGCCTGCTACCGACATTCAGACGGCAAGTGAGTGGTGAAAGCAGTCGGTGTGGCTGCGCACCGCAGGCGGATCCCAAAGACAGTCAGACCCTCGGTTATGTAATCACCGCGCTCGGCCCGCGGCCGGAACGCCATTACACGGTCACGTGAGCCCACATCCTGCGCGTCGCGCGATTGGAATCGGAGCAACACTCCGCAGGAAGTTGGAGGGAGACGGGCTCTTGTTTGGACTTTGATGTCGACTGACACGCGGTCCATATCGTCGCGAATCATACGCATATACCCTGCTATATGCGTCACTGACTTGCACATACAGGCGCACTATCAGGAATCTCCTCACCATGATCAAGCACCCGAGACCGAGATGAAGACCCGAGATACCTCGCACGTCAGAACTGTGAGCGACGAGTGGAAGTGCTAGCAGGTGGTGGTAGGATGAAGAGTTGCGACAAAATAGAGTTCATGAAGCGGGCGAGGCTTATGACATCACGGAAAATGCCGCCACCGAGGAAAAGCATCACCACTCGGGACTAGATCAGATTGACTTGTCCCGGAGATCTCAAGCATGTCTGGTAGCGTCTTGACCTTGGTTCGGATTGCGCCGCAGGCGCAGAGTTCGCGGTCAGCGCGGTAGGACGACAAACTATGACCGACGATGGCAGAACAGCTTCACATTTGACAGCATTTGTCCTGGCAGATTTGTGGTGGACTTGCCTCGCGTGTTATCCATTCACCTCCCGCCCTCCTCTCATTCACAATTTACAATACAGAGCACATCTGCGCTTCGCCTTCACCTGCTCACGGCGATGCGTGTCTCGTATCTCAAGCATTTCATCTCGCAGTCGGAATGCAGTCGAGGAGCACCCCTTTCATCCCTGATCCATCCGCCGGATGTTAGGACCACCATAGCCAATTCGTACATTCCTGTCCTTCACATCAACTAGAAACCACCTTGACAAGAACGTCCTCGTCGTCGCGTCAGATGAGTGCCCGATAGCTTGCGGCATACTACTACAGCTCGGACTCACATTTTTGCCGCCATCACTGCAGCTTACGACATCGCGACAGCCTGCGTACCTGCTCAAATGCCTGCAGTATATGGAGGAGCCGATCTTGTGGGGTGTATACATGTGCACACGTATGCGTGTGTGGCATGGCCGTCACGATGTACGGGCCAGGTAGCATCTGTGTTGTGGGCCTGGGGACTTATAAGGCCGTTCAGCACCTCGACTCGGACAGCGGTGTGTGCCCCGCGCTCCGTCCGTCCAGTATCCACATGTGACTCACTAGAGATCCACAGGCCCTTGGTGAGCTCGCGCAGACCGCAACAAGGCGAATCCAACAAGCGTCGCCCATCGAATTTCTTAATCGCTCCCGACGTGGTTTTACAGTACTTTTCTAGAGAGCATCAGGAAAAGGGCACACTGAGCTCAACCGACGGAGTTACGCAGAGGTGGCTTCCGCACGAACCTTGTTGAACCGGATGGAGTCGGGGCGCGGTTTCTCCGGGAGGCATGGAGCACAAGGACGTTTCGAACGTTGAGCCTGCATTATACTTACGTGAGCTGCTCCTTTACATGCGGTCTGTCTGTCCCCACGTGATCGCGTTTGTCCGCCTCTCGCACACTCGTTGCGCACCCATCGACGGCCGCCGAGTCCGTGGGACACTCGCGTCGGACTCGAAGCTTCCTCTGACGTGCCAGCATCTTTGCCCCAAACCCCCATCATGGCAGATACGCGCAAGACATACAGGCTGGTCACTGTCAACACGGCCCCCGAACGCGCCAAGCGACTCATCGGGAGAGTTGTGGAGGATGTCAAGGACAAGTATATGATCGTGCATGCTGCCAATGTCGAAAGTGAGCTTTGATGACACGTCGAGTTCCCCAGAGCCCCGCTGATTCCAACCTCAGAAATCGAAGACGTGCGACCCGTCCTAGAGAAGGAGCGACCGAACGTGCTGGTAAGTCTTGCTGTAAAGCTTATAAGTACCCATAGTACTCACCGTCCCAGTTCACCGCCTCTATGTGGACTCCAGAACAAGCTCAGGTACGTGTCGAAGACTTGACGCGGTCGACGGTCGTTTTGTCTGATAATCACCGTCTCGTATCTCTACCGATATAACACCTTCTCATCCTCTGCGCACAGGAGATCGTCGGGATCGCCCGGGAGACCATTCCTGGGATCAAGACGTTCAGCCTTCCTCAAGGCTTGCAGGTGGAGAAAGGACCGGATGCGGTAGTTGAATATATCAAGGAGAACCTTCCAAGTCTCCTTGAAGGTTGATCTGTGAACTGTGAGCATCGGTAACCAGTGACCGCCCCAAACCCGAGGTCGTGTCAACGTCACTGTCACCAGAGGATGCTGGCGGTTTCCGGCCAGTCACTACAGCGAGCATATATCCTTATCTTCACATGGCGGAACAACATGTAGTCGTACTCATAATGCCAGCGGTTGCTCTTGAAATGGAATGGAAGGTACCGAGCCCCTAGGACTAATGATTGATGAGTACACGGCAGGATGGTGGAAGCTCAAGTTGCAGGCATACCCAGAACAGCACTTGGATGTATTGTTAACAAGGTGAGGTGTCGCAACGGCCTGGTGGTCTAGTAGTATGATTCCTTCTTAGGGCGTCAACCCATGGTTAGCGTGATGTGGAGGAGGTCCCGGGTTCAATTCCCGGCCAGGCCCTTTATAATCCGGTAGTGCCTTTTTGCTTGCTTGAATTCTTTGACTCCCGAGTCTCATATGCCATTTTGTCTTGTCTGGTCAAGTACTCTGCTTTCGATTGCAACCAACCGGGGTCCCCTGCCGCACAGTACTACCAACAAGTTTTGTATCAAACGCAAGGAAGTCGGAAAGGCAGACATTGACAACGTAGGCTGAATGACATGGTGAGATTTCACATGGCTCTGGGCTGGCTTGCGGGGTAGCCGGGGCGCGCATATATTCAGGTCTTTACCCCAGACCATCCTCGGCGACCTTCATGATACCTTCCAAGCTCCCCAGGCTACCCCGCATCGCCTGGACAGCGGCGCGCACGATGTCCTCGACGCCCTTCAGCACGACGCGGCCAGCGAACTGGAAGACCCTCGCCCGCCGCCGCTCTCAGGCCCGACCTTCGCCGCGCAGTCGACACTCCCCCGCCTGCCCGTCCCCGCATTGGAGGAGACCGTCGGCAAGCTGAAGGAGAGCCTGAAGCCACTCGCGTGGTCGGAGCAGGAGTACGCGGACGCTGTGCAGGCCGTCGACCAATTCGCGTCGAGCGATTACGCGCGTTTGCTCCAAGACCGGCTACACAAGCGCAGCGCGGAACCCGGACGGCCGCACTGGCTCGAAGAGTGGTGGGACGACATCGCGTACTTGGGTTACAGAGATTCAGTGAGTCGCGCGATGTTTTTGGATGCCTGCAGACGCTGACGGCGGACGTAGATTGTGGTCAACGTATCATACTACTGTACGTGAGCCATGGTTTCCATGTCTTGGAGCACCTCCGACGAGCCGTTGCATGCACAGATGGATTCAAGGATCACCCCGCTCATTTACCCCAAACACCTGTCCACCGAGCCGCGTCGCTGATCCGCGCAGGCATGGCCTTCCGTGAGCAGTACAAGCTCGGCCAGATACCTCCGGAGGCCACCAAGGAGGGTCCGATATGCATGGACACCTGGAGGTACGTCGAGACGCTGTTTCTCCCGCGCTCCACTCACATGCCTACACGCCTTCAGATGGATGTTCGACTGCTGTCGCGTCCCCGCTCCCGGCCTTGATTGGTCGGTGAGTCACGCGAAAGAGGGCGATCGCGGCAGGTCCGGGCACGTCGTCGTCCTCCGCCGCGGACGCGTCTGGAAGCTCGAGCCATGGCAAGGCGGAAGACTTCTCTCCCTAGACGAGCTCCAGAGGTACGCATACACAGCATATACCTGCGGTCATACCGTTGATCCTCGCGTCCTAGGCAAATCCAGCACATTTATGACAACACCACCGAGGAATACCCGGGGGTTGGCGTCCTTACTGCATCCAACCGCGATGTGTGGGCCAAGGTGCGCTTGCCTCCACGCAGCACCTCCGCATGTTCTGACCGCCGTATGCTACGCAGGACTTGCAACACCTTGCATCGGACGCGCAGAACGCCCGCATCCTGACCGCCATCCACTCCGCCGCCTTCGTCCTCTGTCTCGACACCGAGCCGGCGAACGGCATAGTCGAGCACTCCCGCAACCTCTGGCACGGCGCCGTCGTCCCGCAGCCCAACGGCCAGCCCCGGCTCGGGCTCCGCAACAGGTGGATGGACAAGCCGTGCCAGTTCGTCGTCCTGCCCGACGGCAAGGCCGGCTTCGTCGGCGAGCACTCCGTCATGGACGGCACGCCCACCGCGACGATGTGCGACCGCGTGCTCGACCTCATCGCCGCCAAGGACTTCGCGACCTCCGCCAACTCGCCCCTCTACTCGACCACCACCGGCACGCTCCCGGAGCCGCTCGACTGGCACGTCTCCCCTGAGACCGAGCGCGCGATCGAGTCCGCCACGGAGGCCGCCGTGGCGCTCATCTCCTCGCAGGCCCTCAACGTCGTCCGCACGCCGTACGGCAAGGCGGCCGTGAAGGCGTTCGGGGTCTCGCCCGACGGCTGGACGCAGATGGTCATCCAGCTCGCGTACGCACGGTTGCTCCGCGCACAGGGCTGGACGCGCCAGGCGGGACGTACGAGGCCGCGTCGACGCGCAAGTTCCTCAAGGGCCGCACGGAGGCGATCCGCATCGTGTCGGCCGAGTCGGACGCGTGGGTCGCGAGCATGGACGACGCGCGTGCGAGCGCAGGTAAGAGGCTCGAGCTCTTCCGCAATGCGCTCAAGAGGCACGGTACGGACGCGCGCGCGGCGGGCAACGGGCGGGGAATCGACCGCCATCTGCTCGGCCTCAGGCTCTCCGTGAGGGAGGGCGAGCAGATGCCCGCGGTGTTCTCGAACCCGGTCGTCAAGCGCTCCAGCTACTGGGTGCTCAGCACGTCCGCGATCTACACGAAGAACTTCGGGCCGTACGGCTGGGGCGAGGTCGTCCCCGACGGCTTCGGCATCGCGTACACGTCCGGGTTCGACGACTTCCTTCAGTTCACGGTCACCTCGCGCACGGAGATGCCGAACGCGGAGTTCTGCAGGGAGCTCGAGCGCGCCGCCCAGGACTTGTTTGCCTTGTTCGCCAACCAGGGGGCAGCAAGTCCAAGTTGTAATCTCAGGGTTCTTTTGGGACGCATCATCTTCGGTGAAATAATGTACTGGATGGTTAGAGCTCTGACGAATGGAAACACTCACTTGGTGTGATGCGCTGCGTGCGTGCAGTCCGACACGCCAACACGAAGCTCTCTATGCTCGAATATGGTGTGTTAGGTACTCAGTACCGTGACAATGAGGAGAGACTGGAAGATACAGATGCAGGTTAGGATATATATGCTGTGTACGTAGAACTGGGGATGGATGAGCGAACAACAACACAGACATCACGTCAACACAGACTAGAATCGATTATTGTGGAAGGAAACGGGTCGGAGTGCAACGCACAAGCGGGAAGGTAACCAGGGACGGACGTGACAGGAATATTCGGGAACGACATTATCAGGATACCAAAGGGATGAGGACGTGAGGCGGGAGCGCGGCGAAAGCAGGTGGACGTGCGGGGTGCGGCATCAGTACGAACGAATAGATCAGGGAGAGCAATATACAACAGGTCGTCACGTCATGAAAGGCCGTCTCCGCCACGTCATCACTGCCCGTACACTGCTGAACGCGCAGCCTGGGTCATCTGGAGTCGCATGACGCGATCGTCGGAAACCATGAGGATCTCGTCGCGTCCCACACCGAGTGGTGGTCGTGGCATGTAAGGGTTGGGGTAGGGCACCCCCGCGCCAGGCGGTGGAGGCGGACCGTGACCATTCGAGCCGAAGGACGTCCGAGAGCCGTCCGGAGAACCGTAGGGCGCGTAGCCGTAACCTCCCGGGTAGGGATTGTAGTAGTTCGCGGCTGAGTGCGTCGTCGAGGGTGGGGTATCGGCGAAGAGACAACGCAGGTTGTTGCCTTGAATGATCTGCGACATCGAGCCAGTTTCCACATGTCGAATCTCCACGAACGTCGGCTCGAAGGCAAGGACGTATGGATAGTGTAACGCTGCTTCGGTGTCAGTATGGAGAGCGACGAAGACTGGCCGCACACGTACCGAATCCTGTTGGTGATCCCTCCCAATAAACCATGAAGTCCTTCCGTGACCGCCAGCCAGTCTTATTGACGTAGAACGCGAATTCTTCAAGGCAGGTCGGTTAGAAGAACCTGTAAATAATAAGGATACAACGCACCATCATAGCACAACAAGAACTCATTGTCGATACGGTAGATGGCAAGTGGCTTCAGGTTCTCCCTCTTGTGTACGAACTCAAGCGATGCATCGGCCGGGTCGAGTAGACCCTGGGTATCCAGTGTTTCCAGGTCGACAATCTCGAAGCCGTTTGTGCATCCAACGCACAACTTCGTCTTCAAGAAGTGGATCGAGCTCGACTGTAGCGGGATGTAGAACTCCTGCTAGGGTGTGAGAACCACGATCCCAGAGCCAACCTATTCAACAAGGCACATACCTTGAATACGCGCAGCGTATCGTTACCGCCCTGCAACAACTTCCGGAACGTCGGCTTTGCCCTACCACGGACGTGCTGATCAATCGGCTCTAGCGTCTTGATGGTGCTGGACAAGGGACTCGACTTCACGACGCAGACGAGAGTTCTCCCAAGGCACACGCCGGCCTTGAAGAAGGATATATGCGATGCTATCCTCTTCGCACGCTTGAGGCCAGCCAACGGGTCCATTGGGTCCAGTGCATCCAAAGGGAACGTGATTACTTGTCGTTCTGTGGTCGCATGTGAGGAACGGAATTGAGGCAACGTATGGAGCTGCCATACCTGACAAGACGACCAAGAGTTGGTACTCTTCCAGGACGTCGATCTGGGCTACATCCTTCAGTGCAAGTACCTTGATCGGTTCCCGATTGCGCTCCAGCAAATTCGAGAGGTAGACGCCGTCGTCAGTACCATACACGACCTTCCGGCCTTGATCTATACGGCAGATCAGTGCGCTATCCAAAACCATCCTGGTGCGACGATCACTCACTGAAGGGAGCGGCGCAGTTGACCCTGTTAACCCCGATGAAGAAGTTCTCACTGAGGGTGATGGTCTCGAACACAGTGCTTCGTTCGCGCATGTTTTCCTGCTGCTTCTGGATGTGCTCTACCCACTTCCGCTGGCTGACATAGGTGCTCGCCCATAGGGTGATCTGGTAGTACTTGCGGCCCAGATGCACGAATGTAATCGAGAATCCACCCTTCGTCTCCTTCATCGGAATGACGGGAACATGTGGGGAGTTCTTGATGAGAGCCTTTTGACGGGCATTCATCGGTTTCTGGACTGCGTAGTCGTCGGGAGCGGAGACGAGGAGGAGTTCCAGTGGTATGGGCTAATCATCTCTCAGCACAGCTAACTCCGAAACAAATTGTGAACAAGAACTTACCCTGCGATAGACCTTGTACTGCTCGACCTTGCTCTTTGGCTTGACCATCAAGAGAGCGTGATCGAACAAGAAGACCATGAGCTCGCCACTGTCACCCTGCGCGTTGCCGCGCTTCTTGAGTGCGCCCTTGTAAATGAGTTCTCGA